CCAAAATAAATTGGCACTAATATAACTAAACTCTTTTAATCTTCAACTTAGAGAAACAAACTTAGTAATCATTTCATTATTACGTTATCACTATTTTAAAACATCAGAGTAAGGTCGATAACCTTGTTTCTCTCTTATTCTTCATCTAAATATTGTATGCTCGAAAAGAGTCGAACAACTATCCTCTTTTTTTTCTTATCCCTCTTGTGCCCTAATAATTTAATAATATATCATTTTTTGGTGGAGATATTACACCTTCATGCCTTAAAAACACCAAGCTTCCTGGTCTAATTAAAGTTGCATTAGCATTCTCTATTTGACATCAGTAAGTATTTGTATCTTAATTTTCAGTTCCTTCTTTATTCTTCCATTTAGAAATTTCATCAGCAAACCCATATTAGAAAAAACGATAGGAGAGTCGTGAAAAATAGAAGCATGAATGCAACGCTTCGTCCTAAATATGGAAGCGTTATTATAACTTGTCAACTCACTTCGAAACAAACCCGTATCATTCCACGAATCCAAATCATCTTATTCATAAAAAATGTATGAAATCCCTTTTCAGTAAACGCATATAAAGTACATGATCAATCCGTATGAATCTAATCATAAAAAAAAAATCTAATCTCAACGGCGATAAGGTGTGCATACAAGTTTGTTTGTCAAGAGAAGTATCCTATATCAACAATCAATCCTTCCTTAAGTATGGTGCTTTGTTATTGTACATTCAAGTTGCGACCCCTGCTTTAACACATTTAGAAATAAAAGTAATGAGCATAAATAGACCCGGGTATGATAAATATAGAACTTGAAACTAAATTATGGAAACCAGTTAAATTCCTATCCCAGCACCCCCCTCACCTAACCTCTATACATCATAACCCATCTCTTTTTGTTGCACTCGATTCCCCCTCTACAATGTGACAACTCCTTTCCCTTAAGAAAATCCATTCCTTCTTTCCGCTCAACTAGACACACTACTTAATCGTACTCGTTACCTGGTACTCATATTAGATACCAAATGTCCTTAACACATAACTCCTGCAACCCGCAACCATCGTATAGCCCCAAGACACACATATAATACTCCATAACCAATAATAACATAATACATGAACACCATCCCTTGGATGACCACTCACAGACACTTTAATTCCACTTATATTAGCATATTAAAGTAAGCAACCACCAGCCTTGAATGGTGCCACACACACACTGCTTTTCTATAACTAGTACACCATATCAGTACTGGTAATGACTGATCTATGCAAACCACACACGTACACTTACTACACCTCCGATCCGCATCAACACCGACAAGGCCCAGCCTGGAGAGGCCATACACACATGCCTACCAGTCCATCATCCACCTCAAAACTTGAAAAAACGGCCTATGAAAGCCATACATACACACATAATATATTACCAAACCATACACTAAATCAGCCATACCCAACTTGTGAGGGCCTTTCACTAATCCACAACAAACTTGTGAAAATCGGCCTGTGAAGGCCACACACACACGTATAACATACCACAAACAACACTCTATTTCG